ATCTATAGATAATGATATATAGAAAATGATCTATAGATAGTGATCTATCAAATTGCGAGTAGAATTACTGTGTTTTGAATGAACATTTGTCCCAAGAAGACAGTCACTACTAATGAAAACTAAGCTGGCTGTACTCACTGCAGAGCTGTTTTACGTAAGGAGTTAGTTTTATAGATGTCCGAGCTATTACTCTCAGACAACATTTCTTTGACTTCCAGGCAGCTCCTCACTGGATAAATCTTTATCAAATCTTCACCTCAGGAGTTTACATGTAGAATATCAGTGCTTTCTTTTCTGGGCATTGTGCTTCACCTCCATACCCAAGTTTATTTTCCTAAACATAATATCTTTAGTAGCTGGCAACATTCAGCTTCATCCTTCTTTTAACCATTTCTTAATCTCAGACAATAAATAGATATCACTATTGTGATATGCATGCCTGAACACAGATGTGAGGGAAAACATAAAACAAAACAGCAAAAAAAAGGAAGATATCTTCCTTATGGCTCAATTTCTTACACATAATAGAACTGGCCTGGAGCAGTACGGCTTAAAGCTCTCACTGAGACAAATCTGAGTTTAAATTATCTGCTGTGATCATTTTCTCCTGTCAGCTGGTCTAACTTTAGCTGTGATGCTTCTGCCATCATGTGGATGGAGCTAAAATTAGTGCAAATGCCAGTTTGGATGGGAAGGGGGTGCGTGTCCAGCCAAACCAGCTACCATAAACCTCACATGGTTACTGATTCTTATTGCAGTCTTTTTAGCAACTCTTTATAGATGACACTTTGCTTCTCAATGAAACAAACAGAATCTATTTGTGACGTTAGTCAAAAAATAAAAGTCAACAACACTCAGTAATTGAAAATCATTATAATCAATGTCTAGCATGACTTGTCTTTTAGGCATTTACCAAGAAATTAAAGCAGGATACATTTTCTAAAACATGTTCATCTTACCTCTTATGTTGCCCAGGTAGAGCCCGTCAACAACCTGTGAAGCAAAAGTCACAGACATTAAAATTATTCATTAATCCTTTGCAACTCAAGAAAACCAGATCTCTGCTCATTCCGGCTCACCCAGCTTGGCTTTAAGGCAACTTAGCAAATGTCCTTTACAGCCATACAAGGATTGAAGGAGCCATGCAGGACAAACTTACATCAACTTTGACATCATCTTAGCAGCACTAATAAGGCACTTTTTCCACTTTCTGTGACATCATGTAAAATATCACGTTCTAATGAAGTTCACGTAATTCCTAATACAGGACATGTATGTATTTTTTTTTTAAGTAAAAAAATATTTCCCAACAGTAAGCAAAAAAAATGGTAAACATTGTGGTTAGCATATATTAGCAGATGTATGGAACTAACTATTATATATTTATTAACATCTATTTAGGTGACTTTTTGGAAAAATAATAATACTACCTTTGTTGTTTTAATGGTATTTTTTTAACATGCTGAGCTATTTAGAGATCAAGTAAAACACTGAGCAGTGTATACCTTCAAAGGAAAGCATTATTCTGCTCCAACTTGAATTCTTCACCTACAATAAGGATTGGTTTCATTCCTTCTTGTTGAAATAAAGCTATTTATTTGAATCACTTTAAAATTTGAATTGTAGTCTTTCAAATACATTATTTTGAATTAAGCCTATTAATTTCAATGAGTGAGTGAATTCAATGAACACTAAGCCTTTTAAATCCTAAATATTTTACACTCTTAATAAAAATATTTTTTGCTGACTAAATTTTATTTAACTCCAATAAAAATATATTTATAAGTGGTGGTTACTTAAGTAAAATCTGAATACTTAACTCCCTTCTACAGAAGAGAATTAGGGCCACTGGGGGGAGAAAAAAAAGTTAACTGACTTTTTTCTAAGAATTCTGCCTTTTTTCTAAGAATTCTGACTTTTTTTTCCCCATATTGAACTGAAATAAAATGTAAAATCTGTTAACTTTTAATATTAGGAAAAAAAATCAGAATTTTGAGAAAAAAGGTCAGAATTTAGAGGAGGAAAAAAAGCCAGAATTTTGAGGGGGAAAAAAAAGATAGAATTTTGAGGAGAAAAATAAGCCAGAATTTTGAGGGGGAAAAAGCCAGAATTTTGAGGGGGAAAAAAGCTAGAATTTTGAGGGGGAAAAAAGCTAGAATTTTGAGGGGAAAAAAGCCAGAATTTTGAGGGGAAAAAAGCCAGAATTTTGAGGGGAAAAAAGCCAGAATTTTGAGGGGAAAAAAGCCAGAATGTCGAGGGGGAAA